GTCACAGTATTGTTTCTCTCACCTCAGGACCTATTGATTTTTTTCTGCAGAAAAAAACAACAACAGTGACAAAGACTGAAAGCCTATTAGGCCTCAGTGGAATTCAGTTTTTACCCAATGTCTACCATCCTGTTTCTGTGTGTACTGTTGGTGGTGGTACTGCGGTGAGTTTTTTTCTTTTTACCACACAAGATCATATTCCACCAAGGCTTAGTAGGCGCAGCAAGGGTAGTGTTACCAGGTCTGTGGTTGGTCCCCTCTGTCACCATCTGGGCAGTAACTTTCAGCAGTTTTGCTCCAGATAGGCAGGAACCTGTTTGCATTTCCATGGTATCTGAAGAAACGTTCTTAGAATCTTAGATAATTTGCAGGTGTTTGTCCAAGTTGAGAAACAGAAACATATTGTCATTCTGTTGTTTTTAGGCATTTGCATCACTGTGTGATTTTTAAATTATTGTTGGAAAGGAGACGTGCAAAGGTTAAAAGGCTAGAGTGTTTTTTGTTATTTTCCAGCTTTCGTGCATACTACATTTATTAAGCGAATAAAATATTCAAATTCACTCTTCAGCCCTCACCAGGAGGTCAGCCACATAACTATTAAAAAAAAGAAATTACATCCTTCTACTCCTAATCTTGATACTCGCAATGGTGCGGCAGCAAAGCTTGTGTTTGCCAACTTTGATGTTCAGCACTGCAGACTTGAGTTAATAGTTCCTGGGCCATTAGGAAGTCCCTACCTCAGGAGGAAGGACTTTTCGTTAGGCAGAACTAGCTCATGAACTGAAACTGAACTTAGTTGCTGTGGTTTGTACTGCTGAAGTAATAAGTAATCTATTGTATCAACAGTTTGTGGAAAATGCCTTGCGATGGATAAGAGACAACTGTGACTAACTTTGTTAAACAGGACGTTATCTGTATCCATCGATCCAAGTCCTGACATCCGTATTATCATATCTGTTTCACATTTAGGTAAACTGGAAAACTTTATGCAACATTGTGTACAAATTGGTCAATCTTTTCTGTCACTTACCGAGGCCTGCATGTGTTTGATATCAGCCGCCTTACAAAAAATGTGAGATTTTGGCATGTTCGGGAGCAGATTGTAATGCTGTGCTGAAAATGTGTATTATTAAAATGTAATTTCTTAATGGGAGTTTGGTACAGGAGCTGTTGACCCCATTTGTGTAACCTGTCATAAATAAGTGAATGTGGCTGCTGACAAAGGTGTGTTGATTGGTCCTTCGGTGCTGCCATATTAAACGATACCTCTTAACCCTTTGTTAAACCGACACCGTGACACAATCAAAACACGCAGGCGTGCTCGGTGACGCAGTGACCTGGGTTACTCTCTGGCTGCTGATAAGACCAAATTGGGAGAAAACCAAAATGATACAATCTAAATGCTGCCCCTCTCTCTGATGAAATTATGAATGCTTCAGCTCCAGTCACATGCTCTGGATATTGTGCTGTAACCATATATAACCATGGCCTTCTGTGGCCACATGAGGTTACTGATAGGAGAGCTGTTACTTCCATAAATCACTCATTACTTTATCTGTATGAGACCCAGTGTGAGTACAAGACGATTAAACTCCTCTGGACAGATTATGTCTTTCTCTCTGCCTGGCTTTCTCACCACTGCAGTCACAGCTGCTACCCGCTTCTATTCAAGTTAGAGATCACATGAATTAACTGCAAGGCGAAGACTGGATGACCCATTTTATGGTGGAGCAGTTGAACTGAGAAGTGTAGTAAGAGGGAGAAGGGAACACTCTGGCGAGCTCCAAGTCTAGCTCAGCCAGGGTTTCTTCATGTTGCGTTGAGACACGTTAAGTTTGTCGTTTAAAGGTTGAATTGTGTTCCAGCCCTTGCGGATTGTTGTGATTATTTCAGAGACAGTTATTTTATGGCCCTTTGCCGTTGTTTGACTCATAAACTTCAGGCTAGGGTTTCAAGTGTAGTTCAGTTTCTTGCTTTTGTGTGGAAACAGAGACAGCATGCATAGTATCTTTACACTAATTTAGTTTGTTCTTGAACCGATTCTGTTCAGGATTCTTTCAATCTTGGTGCGTTTCCAGCAGTTTTGAGCTGAACCATAATGTAATCAGGAATGTGTGTATCATCAAAGGAAGGTGTTGCACAACTGAAGTAAACAGTAGTAGCAAGATGGCGGATCATTTAACCTGCAAGCTTTCATTCTGTTATTATTACATTGTTTATCCACATGATCATTTATTTCCAACCTGTAGAATATGCAACAAACATACATACATACATTTGTGATAGTTTTAAGGTAAAGCTGGTTGTGTCACTGGCTGAAAATGGACCATATTTTAGTTTCGGTAAAACAACCCAGTGATTTATTTTTAGTGTGCAAGATGATTTACATGGCAGGCGTGTGCAGGTATTAGATTAATTTACTCAGTGTCAAATTCATGTGTCCTGATGGGCAAACAAGTCAAAATCTGAAGCGTGTGACTGTTTAAATGTCACAGTTTCTTTATTGCCGATAGAGAAAGGGCTCAATTGTATTGTGACCAAAGCTAATCACAAAATGTGCTCTGGTTAATCTTAACTTTGCTCCTTTAAATCCACATGAAAATCCTCCTATCAGAAAGTTTCTCCCTTTCCTACTTCATTTTTTTCTCGCTCATTCTGTATCACAGATCACAGAGCTTGCAGGAGTCCAGCGAGGTTTTTCTTTTCTTTTCTTTTTTCTAGCGGAGTTTAGCCTCTCATCCTCTTCTTTTGGGGAATTTGCAAAGAGTTGTGGGTTTAATCTGAGCAACCGTGAAAAGAGGAGAGGAGAGGGGAGGAAAAAAAAGCCCCCCAGAAGAGAATGGAGGGAGAGTAGAAATATACGAGAGTGAGTGGGTGGAAGTGAAGCCAGCGAGGGATGAGAGGTTGAGGTTGGGGATAAGCAAGGGTGTGGTTGATGTCATGAGCGAGAGATGCTAGAGGGAGAGGTGGGGGTGTGGGAGAGAAAGGTGAAAGAGGTGTGGTCATGGCGTAGAGAGCGAAAGAGAGAGAGAGAGAGAGAGGAAAAAAGAGAGAGGAAGAGGTGGGGGCTGAAGTGATGGAAAGACGAACGGACTGGGAGGGGAAGGTAAGGGAAGGGAGTTGGGTGGTGGGTGGGGAACGAGTGGAAAACATGGAGTCAGCTGATAGCTCCCAGTTTCCATGGCAACGCTAGGCCTTTCCCACCCACTCTCTTTCATTCTCCGTCTCTTCTCTGCCTCATCCGCTTCCTCACTTCTTTCACACTTAATTTTTCTTCAGGTTTTTTCTTCTTTTTTTGTTTTTTTTGGGAGGACTGTCTCTATAATCACGTTATGGCCATGCTGCTCCCTTTTTCTTCCTCTTTCTTCCCTTATCTCCTCTCACTGGCTTTCCTTTCCTTTCTTTATCCCCTTTCCTTCCCTTTCCTTTCCTTTCCTTTCCTTTCCTTTCCTTTCCTTTCCTTTCCTATTTATTTGCAAGGATAGGATCTCCTTTAATTCCTTCTTACCTCAGCCAAGTTCTGTTTGTATTCATAAAGAGAAGGAGGATCAACATTAGAAACACAATTCAGGGTGTTTCTAGAGTTTTGAAAATCCCCCCTCCTTGTAGCTGCATTACATGTCAGAATAGTGAAACTTTGACAAGAAAAAGTTGTTCACTGAGAAGGATTACCAATTACAAGCAAAACTCTTTGCAAATCTTCTTGGAGAGAAGAAAAAAAGGGTTGCCAGGAATGCCAGAAATCTACTAAATGTGACATGTAGCAACCTGTAAGGCACTAGTAACCAAGATTATTTGCATATGTAATGATAGTTGACTACAGGAGGATGTTTACCGACCTTCATATTTGCGCCTTTGTCCATCGTCACGCAGCCCAGCCTCCAGCTGAACTGTGTGACCCGATAAGAGGGCGTAGCGGAGACTCCACCCTCTCCTCCTCACCCAGAGCCAAGCTACGCTCATCTGAACTGGAAGGAGGCCAAGTCCTGGACTGGAAGCTCACTGCTGCTCCCTCTCTCACTCCATTTCTCCTGTCTCTCTTTCACTTTTCCTCTTTTTTTTAACTCTCTCTCTCATAGTCAGTACCAGTCTCTCTCTATACCCACCCAGCCCTTCTCTCTCGGTCTCTCACTTTCACCCCCACCTCCCCCCACAGTGTCCCACACAGCAGCCATTGTTCCCTGTGCTTTTCGAGCTACATAGCAGCTGAGCCCTGGGTGGCTGTAGAGGCGAACGGGGTGCTGCGTTCCTCTGAGGAGGCTGAGAAAACTAGGGCGTAGCATGAAAAAGCCTGATGCAAGTTATATAAAAGCATCGATCCAGCATGAAGCAGCTCCTCAAAGCAAACATAGTCCGTTTTAATGGATTGAAAAATGTGTTGAAAGATAAACAGTAAAGGTTGAGCTGGTTTCAGAAGTATTGTTCCACACTGGGAATTCTCAATGTTTTCTTTTAATAGATATCTCCAATATTTCTCAACAGAGAAACACAGGAGTGTCATGGACAATTTAATAATAGGATCAGTTTTATACATCAGTTTTAATTGTTCCTGCTGTGTTTTGAGACATCAGTTTTTTCCACCAGTTTGGTGTGCCTGATGGCTCTAAAACACGTACCGTTGCTGCTGTGGCGACATGTCTCTAGTTCATTATCACTGCACAGGAGAAAAGTAATGAAATGATTTCTGTTTTTGTGTATTGTGTGGCTCCTGTTGGCTTTTCAAACAATAAAGCAGCATGTGTCAGTACATTTGGCATGCTTCATTTAACTGTAAATACATCAGTTTAACTGATACACCTGTTTTCCAAACAGTCATGCTATTCTTTAAAGTGTAGAAAATCTGATGGTTTTTAGGGGTTTTTCTATCCTAAAATAAATATTTTCTTGTGTGCAAGTTGATGTTTGTAATTTTGTTTTGTCATTAAAATACACAAAATATCAGTTTCAGATTTCAATACAATCAGCTTTCTAAATTCCTCTTATTTTCCTCTCCTCTATAGCAGGCAGATGTTGGTGACGACTGCTCGCAACCAACAGACCTGAAGGTGAAGATGGAGCCTCCGGTTTGCAAGACGGAGCCCTCTTCGCCCCAGCCGTGCCTCGCCGAGGACCAGACCGAACCGGTTGACCTGTCGCTCAACAAGCCCCGCTCCTCTTCGCTCCCCGCTTCTACGACAAGCACCACAGTCAACCCTGCACCCAGCAGTGCCATGACCCAACCCAGCCTGTCGGCTACACCAGTCCCCTCTGCGGTACAATCGATAGGCTCCATGGTAACTAAAGACTCCTACCTCCTCCATTGAAGGTGATGAACAGTGCACTCAAGAGGGTTAGAGTGACCAATCATATTCCGCTCCTCTTGCCCCTCTAGGTCCTCTCTCCAGGCTCTATCTTGGCCACTCAGGGCGCCGGGGGCCAGCAGATTCTTCACGTCATCCATACAATCCCCTCGGTCAGCATGCCCAGCAAGGTGGGCCAGCTCCAGACCATCCCTGTGGTGGTGCAGTCACTGCCTGTTGTCTACACCACCATGCCTACTGATGGCATGGCCACGGCAGCCATTACAGTGCCACTCATAGGCAGTGATGGGCGCTCAGAAGGATCTGGTGAGTGGTGCAATAAAAATTTCCGGTATGATACCATATGACAGCAGTATTACTCATATGGTGCTACTGCAGTATTGCTACTAGGCTACCTTTATGTCACTAGCGGTGGCGATCTATCAAATTCAACATGTTCTTGGACAAACAAAACTTTGATTCATGACAGGAAACCTCTTAAAAAATAGTATTCAGCCTCAGCTGTAAATTGAGACAAATTTTAACATAGCATGCTGACATGCTAACAGCAATTAACGTTGGCATGTTACAACACTAACACACTAAATGTTAAATTACCAACAAACAACTGATTATCAGACGGATTTGACATGTTGTTTTCACTTCATTATTCAGCCTTACACCATGTTCATGTTGGGGCATTTGTGTTTTTTTGCAAAAGAACAATCAGCTGTGAAATAATTTTCAGTCGACATCTGGTAGCGGTTGCTAGAGGCCGCTTACTTAATGAATATGCTTTTTTAGACTTGCTATTTCTGTAAGTTGACTAACACCAACCTGTATAGCTGCATCAATCAGATTCACAGTTGTGGCCATTTTTCTGACTCTGGTACAGGAAAACAATGTCCCAATTCTTTATTCCGCCTTAAAAGCTCTGATTGGCTCGGTTTGTTTTTCCAACCGTGGAAAAAGCCATCAATGATATAACGGAGATGTGAGCAGAAAATCAGAGATCTGGGACCAAGTAGGCTTTGCATATTAGCATGCTAACAGGCTCATATGATAACCATTACATGCTTCGGCATTATTTTCCATATAAATCCAAGCACCAGCAGTGAATCGTGTATCAGTAAGGAGTAGGCATCTTTGTTATATTCAAACTTGCTCCTGCAATTGGCTACTTTACCTTCTCTTGTAATTTGGTGATACAATCTCCTTTGTGATCTACAGTTCCAGCTATTTAAAGATAATATTAATTAATAAATTATGCAGTGAAGAAGAGTTGAAGAGGTTAACCATTCAGATAAACAGAGTTGTGCATGCAGAACATAACTCCAGCCTTACTTCATATGTTGTATATTATGTTTCATACATTGTGTGTCCTTGATGTGCTGCACAATGGTGCCTCCCACACTACTACTACTACTACTACTGCTGCTGCTATGAATGCAACTAATTCAATACTGCTGATGTCTTTTGTACCACAGTATGCACTAAATGCTGTTTAAAAATCATACACCATCATACTCAAGGGGTTCAAGTCACAATTAAACATTGTAGAGCATCTTCCTTTAAGGTCATTTGTATGTTGAAACAGGATGTTGGGACGATACATAAGACACACTGGTCGTCCAGTTAGAAAAAGGAAGGCAATTTAACATGGTTGTTAGATTGCTAGACCTCTCCCCTCCTCTTCCCTGCCAGTTGTTCTATCTTTGACTGTCACACCCGCCATTGTTCTTCCATGGTTCTGTCACTCTTGCCCACACTGTCATTTATTGGGAGCTCTCGGTCTCAGAGGAGTACAGTGTGTCTCTCGAGGGATATTGTGTGTGTTTGTGGTTAGCGGTATGTTAGACATTGACGTCTGCCTGCCTGTCTATCTTTGTGATTTGTAGAAGCTCTCCATATGTGCCAGATGATTGATATTTCCACTTAAATAAGGAAACTCGCGGAGAGAAATGTTGTGACATGCATCTGTCAATGTTTCATCAGCAGATTCCAACCTCTACTATGTTGTTAGGGAAGGTTCTTAATGTCTAAGTGTTCTTTTTCTGAGTAGGCAGAGGAACACAAGGTTGCTGAGTAACTAATAACCTGTCATTTTTTAACTTGTACCTGAACATTTCCTAAGTCGTGCTCTTAAAACATCCTGACCTTCTCTGACATTAAGATTAATGAGAGAAAGCAGTGGTAAAGTCTTGATATCGAACTACTCTCTAAAGTCAGAGTTCGGCCTCCTGTCATCATGTCAGCCGGTAGTCAGGAGCGCCTTAAACACGCCAAGCGATCAGGTCGATTTGCGTTAAGCAGCAGCAAATGGAGAGGTTAAAGGAGCTGCAATCCACCCCTGAGTAAACACGAGGGGCAGCTTGACATTTGCTCAGGCAAGCTGGCAAAACAGGCCTCTACCCCTTTGACAAACTGCAGTAAAGTCCCTCAGTAAAGTAAGTGTAGTTCACCTTGGTTTCTAATCTAAACCAGCGCGGCCCTGACTCAGGAATGTAAACGAGGGAGGAAGTGACTCTCAGGAAGAATCTCCACCACACGAACTGGCCTGACGATGCTCTGACTGTTTGACCTCATCAGCATGTTCAATACATGTCAGGAGTTTTTGTGTCATGGAGTGTTATAATTTACATTCTTTACTTTCTCCACTTTGTCTCAAACAGCTTCTTCTACTTTACTTGATTTCCAGGCACGGGATGAGGAGAATGCTATGTATATTTTCTCATGAGAATTCCTAATATTTTGTTCCCCACTACGTTTATGGGAGGATAAAAATATCATTGCACTGTAGAATGGTACAATAATATAGTCTGCAAAATAATTCAAAGGCAATAAAGGTTTATTATATGGTTGTTTTAAATTGTCCTTGTGCCCATAGTGAGAGTAAAAAAACAATTTCTTTATTTAACAAAGTGCGAACTGACTTTATTTTGTCTCTAAAGTGCTTTCTACTGATTTATATTAGATGCAGTCACAGAGAATACAGTGAAATGAAAACATGCTGAAAGTCATTTTTGTCTCTTTTGACTACTGGCATGATGCAGTACTTCCCATGAAATGAGCTCCTGAACCTCTTGGAAAACAGTCCATGTTCTTTGGTGACCTCTTGCTGCTCTAATTCATGTAACTAATAAGTCAACATGCATTTTTCAACATTCTCATCTTTCCACCTGCCTGAACCAATAATACTACCTTTCGTTGAATAACTTTCAGCTTTTGTTTATTCTGGCGGCCCCTGTGGACAAAAGCGGTAGTGTTTCCACCGCCTTGTTCCATTGATTTCAAAGAGAATCCAACCTAATCCGTACCAATGGCAGGCATTTAGAATAACTTTATAGAAATAGCCAATCTTCTTGATGATGATCTTGTGTACGTATGTAGGTCATATAGAGGCATCAGTATTAAATTGAGACTGTAGGTCTAAGTCTGATCCCTGACTATCTAACATCCAGCCCCAACATATTGTTTCTCAGAGATTTACACAACATTAATTAGGTATGTTAATACCATTTCATTGGGGATTTTCAAGCTGTGTTTGGTAACTTTGCTCGTTTCAGAGGCTGTAAATGTCAGCAAGTGGTAGCAGTAATCTCTTGGTACTGAGGAGTGACTTAATACCTGACTGAAAAGCAGCTTGTTTCACAGTCTCAGTCTCTTTTGTAACCACACCTTACAGTGATGCCTGTCCTGACACACCCTGGACTCCTGCGTCAATGCTTGAGCTCAACAAAAATATGTTTTTTTCAACTAGAGTCAAGGTGCTCTTTAAAAGATGATTCTGGTTTACAGCTTGGGCCTTATTTTTGTGGATTTGATAATCATTTTCTGTTGATATAATGACAACATCACTACAGCAAGGCAACAGTTAATGGAGATTATCTAAAATCACTTTATTTTGGGGTAAAACTAAAAGTGACGGCACCTAAAATATTGGTAGGATGCTGGTCTGTAAACTGTGATTTAGAACTTTTTCTCTCTTGCCAATGTGTCTGGAAACCTCTGGAGGTTTGTTTAAAATCTGTCTGATTGTATTTCCTGCCCCGTCTGACTGCTTTTAAGTAATACTGCTGTGTTTCCAGATTCCCAGTATCATATTTATCTATCTGGCCAGTCTGTATCCTTTGCACCAAATGAAACCAAACAGATGGGTAAAGAACTTGATCTCACACATACAGTTAGCACAGTTATCTTTTACTCAGTTTCCTCAGAGGGATCATTCAAGTGCCCCCTAAACTATTGTAATGTAATATCGTCTAATCTTGTGAGTAGGGCTAGGTGGATTCTGAGCGTTTAGTTCTCGTAGGCCATATTGAAAGTGTGTTTTTGTTGCTGCATTTCGGAGCCCGGGAGTGCTGTACAACGCTGAAAGGAGGCTCAGAAACAAAGAGTGAAGATGTGAGCCAGACAAGGGGGAGAGAGTGAGGGAGAAAGAGAGAGAAGGAGATGGCAACTTTGATATGTTCTGTTTCCTCATGTACCTGCAGAGCGAACAAGCAGGAAGGCAGCTGACATTCGCTGTTCCTGTGCTGTGGTGTTGTGTGGGAGGATAGGTAGATGCAGATGGAGGAATGGAATGAGACTGGGTGGGTGAGGTGGGGGT